TCCATACATTCTTCTATAGTGTGTCCTCTTTGGTTCGGGTGGTAGGCACACGTCTTTTGAGAGCTTTCATGCCCAAACCCAAAAGTAGTTTCTTCGAGATGTTTCAGCATGCGTGAAGCCTTAAGGTGCTCGTAAATGAGAGCACATGGCACAACTCTTACTCCTACGCTATGTGTCTGCTCAAAAGCTGGGAGAGTGATATTTTGGTCTCCTCCTTTCAGACGTCCCAGGAAGGGAGGCATATAGATGATTTCCTCATCGGTATCTTCTTCAGTAGCTCTAGGGTGAGTGTCTTCGGGACCACTATTTACTTCTTAATTGAAGAAATAGCATTTTACGCATATCTTCTGAAGCCTCATGGTTATATCATTGTTGAAGACATCATGTTCCTTCCGCATATCAGCCGTCTCCTCATTCATGATAGCATATCTTGCCATCTTAGCCGCTAACTCTGCGTCTAATGCTGCACTTTTGGCTTGCGCAACTGCGGTGGCTAGTTCTACTTCTATTCTTCTTTCTCCCATCTCTCGAATCTCTTGTTTGAATCGATACACTTTCATCCTTAAATTCTCCTCGATCGTCTCCACTTCGACATTCTTGCCTTTTTCCATCTTAGCAACAATTTTACCTTTCCTGAGGTGATAGAGTAATGTTTTAGGATTTGGTGGTAGAATTTTATTTTTGGTTGAGAAACTCAATACTCGGAAACTTTGGTCGGACATTTGGTAGTGACTTGTATTTGGTATTGTAGGGATTTTCGGAATTTTTTTGAAAAGGAGTGGGCTAAAAATATCTTCATTCAAAGCAACGTATCTCATAAACAGTTAAAACACACAAGTAAACAGACAAATATCACGTCTTAAACATACATGTTACCCTTTTGTGCCAATGGTAGGCCTAGAGAATTGAAAGATGAATATGTATTTTTAAGCCAATTCATTATCCCCTAAAATATTTCATTAATATCATTCAAAAATGTTTAACAAGCATAAAATCAGGGAAAATAGTTCGAAAAGTAAATTACAAAACAAAGTACAAATAAAGCAATCCCACGCAGGGTATGATAACAAACTTCAGGCTCGTCCTGATCCTTCACCAAGTCTGGTCCTCTTGGCGATGCTGACCTCTCCCCACATAGCATATATGTTCGCCCATAGGTGATCTCTAGCCAACCGAGCTCCTTCTTGATGTTCTCTACCGACTGAATCTGTTGTTCCATGCTATCATCCAATTCTGACATGCATTGCCTGACTCTTTGTAGCTCTTACTTTAAATGAGCTATGACTTCAGCGTCTTCTGAATGCCGACGTTGATGCTCTAACTCATTCCTATCAAACTTCTCTTGGAGTCGATGAAGTCGAATTTGATGTTTGGCTCCAACGTCTGCAATAATATGGGGAACGTTTGGACCGGGTTCGATAGTTCCGGCGAGACTCTTCTTTAACCATTACTTGTAATCTTTAAACATTCAGGACGAAACCTGTTTGGGACCGACTCACCCAATACCCTTCAAGTTTTCCATAATTGAAGCATTTTTTTAGTAAAAGCGACTTCGCCATTTTCATGATCCGTCACAAATCTTGTCATATCTTCGATCTGAGGAAGCTCTTGTTTCCCTCCTAGCTGTCTAAGTACTCGAGAATGGGCCTTTCCACTTCGGATCACCATTTGTTTTGTTACTACCAAGAATTTGATCGACCACTGCACATTTTCCTCTCTCAAACCCTGAAGTCTCGGGTACCAAAATTCTTAGCCTCCAGTCTTGTTGAAATGATTACGTTGCACCCACCAATCATGACTTTTGAGTCTGTTCGATCTTTCCAAGGGATATGGTTCTTTTGGATTATGAGCTTTGATCAAGTGTCTCATCATCTACCATTGAAGTATTAGGTTGCACCCTTGAAAGAAACGTGTGCCGTTTTTACATTTATCCAATTCCCTGTAAATGTCAGCAAGGATCAAAAGAGCCAAATTGTAGTACTTTCTTGTAGACCCGTAGCTTACTCCATTAAAAATAACATGAGTGACCATTACTACATTTGGATAGATGGTGTAGTTTAGTCCTTGGGGAAACACCATTATCCCAATTAGGCATATCGCAAAAGCTAGGAGGCGTGTTTCCTTCCATTTTTCTTCCGAGACAAACTCTTCTTTGAACTTCTTGTAAGCTCTTGCGCATCCAAATCAATAATACAACTTACGAAGTGGAATATTTGACCCGGGAAGCCTATCCATCCATTCAGCTTTCACAGGTGAAAGTTTTTCTTTAATTTCGTCAAAATCCCATACCTTTGGAAATAGAAGATCAGTATCGGGTTGGTGTTTCCTCTTGTTGCACATGCCAACACTCTCAAAACTTGCAAGAACTTCATTGATAGTCGGAGTCAACTCTACTTCCCCAAACCGAAATACCATGCTGTCGCTGTCCAAAAATTGCACCATTGTTCCAATCAAATCGGGATAAGCCACCATTTTCATTAATGACGGGAGATGACCTTTGTGTCTTTGAACTTTCTTCTTGTCTTCCGCGTTCATGAACTTCCACCAAACTTGGAGGTAAAGATGGGGTATGGTCACAATTTGGGTCCTCAACGTCTCACAAGTCGAATTCATCTTACAAGAAAAACAGACAAAGGTAAGTTCACCCCCACCCCCACCTCCACTTGACAATTGATTTGTTTAAAATGACATATACATCTTTCAATTAAACACATAAGCATGATTGTCTTTTATTGACCAAAATGGGTCACATAGATACAAGGTGGGCTTCTAATGGGCCCAACACGCCTTGGGCGTTGGGTCAAACTCAGTTCAAAATGCTCTAATTCGGAATTTGGGTTTCGCTCTACGCTAGTTGACTAAAAGTGGCATTTGAAAGATCGAGAACCCAAGTGGACAACTTAGGCTGGAACTCACGAGAACCATTGGACGCATGACGTACCAATAAATTGCCGATCATTTCAAAAAGAGTCGATTCTAAAAAGTTCGGCTGCGATTATGCAGAAATCGTTCTTAATATACTATACATACAAAAGAATATGCCATGAAATGCAATGACAGTTATAAAAAATTTAAACACATTTAGCATAGATAAACAGTTCAATAATAGCAATTAGTCAGATAGTCAAATCATTTGGTTAGAACTTCATTAAAT